GAATGTGTGTTACTCAAAAGTTATTAAGTAACAAAGTTAAACACAATCTACAATGAAGGTAACAATAAAGATGACTTGGCATGTACTAATGCCTCGGTGTTTTTTTGGGCTAGTCTTTATTGATAATATTATTCATTGTCTTTAATTGAATAAAGGGGATCATATGCAATAATGACTAGTGATTTTTAGTACGGGGGGGCATTATCAATGTTTTAAGCAAAGTTGGTCAATTCCCAGAAGATTTGGAGTTTTGAAGATCTTCCCGTGTTCGGAGACTTTGTTACCGAAGGTCCGAAAGCTCCGAAAGCTCCGAAAGTGAATCTTGTCCGAAAGCTCCGAAAGTGAATCTTCTAGGACAACCAAATTTAACTAGACAAATTATCCTAATCTAGATAATCTATTGAGGAAATTTATAATGATCGTACATTATGCCACTTTATAGAAGCCATGTTAAGTTGATTTAACTTTAAAATGGAGAATGTGTAAGATTTTAACGAAGAGATTGTTTGTAAATCACAAAGAAAGTTTTTTGTGCACTTTTAATTACAATATGATTACTAAAACTCTTAAATGAAATTTATATCCTTAAACTATTAAAATTACTTTAATCAATATAGCATTTTTATTTCCAATAAGTCACTCATACACATTATAATGAAGCCATCGGGTTGTATGATTTCCTTCATTATAATGTGCTTTTGAGTAAACTTTTAGTAAATTCACTATATCGAGAAAACTTTTATATAAATTGCTCTTCATTATATTTATTATCGAAAGCTCATTATAAGAGTGACTTATATTCAGAAAAACATATTTATACTTGGAAAATTCATTTAAAACAAGTGATCGACATGTCAATTGTCATCTCCAATATCTCCCGAAATTGACATGTGAGCACGTAGACGCAATGACATCGAGATATATTTTAGTTATTTAGTATCGTTATTAATTATTAACCCACTAAAAAAATCGCTCGCATTTTGTGTTATCCTATTTAACATAATTTTTAAC